TTTGGGGACAGGGTAGAGGATCAGGGTAAAAAAATTAGGATTCCTGCCAAAAAAAAAAAAAAAAAAAGGTGGGGGGATCAACTATTCACTACAATAATTTTGAAACTTGTAAGAGGTTTAAAATGTAATAAGTGTACTATTTTTCCCCTAAGAGTGATGTTTAAGAATGCTAGTTGCTCTATACCCTTGAGAACCAGACTATTATAGTTATTATAATCTCATCTATTTGATAGATCTGATAATAATGCTTGATATTTCATATTAGTAGTTAGTAACATCTTTATGATGATTCCCAACTCCTCAATGGCATTAAAACTTTCTAAAGAGACATAATAAAATGACAAGGAAACTGCTCTACTTTGTTTCCTAGAAATTCATTAGGCACTTAAAATTACAGGCACAGAAATATGAACTTCATCTCAACAAAGGAGATGAAATTTTGCCAATCACTTACCAAAACAAGCATTGAGTTGGTCTTAAGATTCTTCACTAGAGTTCTATGAAAAAATCTCAGAAATAAGCAGTAATTTTGTTAAACACATAAACACTAAATTCTACAAAAGTTTTTTAAATGCATAAGGCAGTTATTCTCAGTCTTCGAATGAACTAACATTCATTAAGGACTAGTCATAGGTCAGATTTTGGATACTAAATTTAATGAGGAATTTGGGTAATTTACATTACAGATTAATCTCTTAAAGAGTTATCAGGGCCATATTTTTTTAAAAAAATATTTTTAGTTGTAAACACACAGTAACTTTATTTTTATATGGAGCTGAGGATTGAACCCAGTGCCTTACACATGGCAAGACAAGGGCTTTACCACTGAGCTACAGCCCCAGCCCTCAGGGCCTCATTATGAGTATTAAGTTTGCACCATTAGAGCTTTATTTCTTTTGTTTGAAAACATATTCATGTAACAGATATTTGTCACATAGTACATTTTTGGATAAGCTCTTATTGAATAAAGCTCTTATTGATAGAAAATAGGCCACAAGGAATTAATTTACAACCATCAAATGTTTTGCTGTAGTGTATGAGTTAAAGTTCGAGAGTTTACATTCATTAAGGACTAACTCATGTCACTGGAGATTTTGTTCAATGACCATATTCTCAAGGCTCATAGATTTTGGGTTGGGCACAGTTTATTCCCACATGGGTGACAAGGCATTTGAACCCCTATGAGAAATGCCATTGAAACACTGTTCCTGTATTTCATTATGTGCTCAGGTTTACACTTAACTTAAACTTATAAATAATAGTTTGTGATCAAATTCATATCCACGCCAGTTTGGGGGGCTCAAATGTGCAATTTATAAAGCTGTCTAAAACTTTAAATTTGACAGCAGTTATATCTCAGGAAAAAAAAAATCTGACCTACATCTTGGTGGCAAGAAAATATATAGGGGTAAGCAAAACAAAGCAAGTGGTCTCATGTGGCTTACCTTTCCTGAAAACCAGAAGTTGAATAGGAAAATGAGGAAAGTCTAGGACAAAGGTGTTTGCAGATTAGATGCTTTGTGGGTACATACATCTGCTTCTAATCCACGGTAGGCTGATGCCTCACGGGGACTGGTGTGCTGGCAGAGTCAACTAACACACTATGTGAGGCCCAGGTGCTTCCACTTAGGCCCACATGGAGTCCAAGTGCACTTCTGTGCTCACATGTTAAGCCATGCCCTTGGCCACTTCCATGGTCTGGGTCAAAGTAAACAATAAGTACCATCTGACTGAGTGATGTTTGGAAGGATTCGCAATTAAATGAGACGTTGTCTATGAACAGCCTGGCAAATACAAAGAGACCAATAAGTTTTTTTTTTTTTTTTTAATTTTGCATTTGCATTGGATAGAACCCAGAAATACCAGTGAAAGCTGTGGTAGTTTCCAACTTGGGAGGCCTGTTTGCAATCATTTCATTCAAACTTTCAAGGGCACAGAGTTTTACTGTGTAGTGGTTCATAAGATGAAAATAAAGTTGGGGTTAATTGTAATTTCTCATGCCCCCTCTTACAGTCCTGGGGCTTACTTTAAAATTAGCTCTCTTGGGTAGACTTCCTGATATTTTTATCAGACTTGAAAACAAAGTGCCTATCCTCATACTTGCTTTTTACAGGTGGAGGGGAAGGAGAGGAAGGAGCATAAGACAACCTAATGTAATGAGTGTGTCACTGACAAGGCCCTATAGGAAAAATATCTCAGATAAATTCCCTGCAGGGAAAAAAAAAAGCCAGTCATTGTGTTCTCATAAACCAACACAAAAGTCTGTAGGTCATGCAGTTATTCTAGGGTACTTCCTGTACTATCTCCTCCAAAAAATAGAGAGCATTTTTTTCTTGTAGAGGTCACTGACCTACAGAGGAGAAACAATAAAGGGCCAAAAGAGAAGTTAAAAGGAGCTCAATTTGGTTATTACTGGACTAATTTTGTAAGTCACAGTAAAAGTGAAACTGTGCTGACTTAAAAATTAAGAACATAGGCTAGGAGTTCAGCTCTATGGTAGAGTTCTTCCACACAAGGGGGCCCAGATTGGATGGCTAGTGCAGAAACAAATAATTTAAGAACAGGATGATACTCAACTTTATCCAGTATGCTCAAGGATGGAAATATTTTAAATTGTACTTCAGTTCTAGAATGCTCAATCATGGAGCAGAAAAAGAGAGGTGGGGAAGATAAGAGAGAAACTTGGAAGAGTTGGAGAAAAATTGAGGTAAACAGAGAACCGGGAAAAAAATAACAAAGGACACACTTGGTGGCTTTATTTTAAAAAATTGATTGTGTAGCACTTGTCACATTTTTTTTAATTATACTTTTTTTTTCTATCCTTTAAAAAAGGCTACTCTTTATAACTTACCAATTCTCTTTTCCTTTGAAATTCTTACTGGGTCTATCATGGTCCAAGTGAATCTTCTACAGTGATGAAAATGTCCTGTGTCTATTCAGTCTTACACAGTAGCCACACCTGACTACTGAGCACCTGAAATGTGGCTAGTGCAATCCAGCAATAGGATTTTAAAATCTACTTCATTTTATCTAAAAGTCACATGTGGATGATTGGAATGTGCAGTCTAAGGGACATTTACAATGGAAAGAAAAATGGTGTCAAGAAGATGTGCAAATGAATAAGCACAGATGGAATTAAACTAGAGTGAATTATAGCCTTTCAGCCAGATATCTTCCCATCCAAGTGTCATGTACACAAAGCACTCAACAAACATTATACTGTTAATCATTCTGCTGCACATGCTGTACCAAGGTGGTTCTGGTCAATGCTAGACCCCAGTGGTTCCTGAGAGATTATGAAGACGTTGAGAGACTACTATCACCTAGTGGTGTCACAAGCCATGGTGATGTTTTAATGCAGCTCATTGCTTGGGTTGGTGATGATGCTGAGTGTCAGCACACCTGCTGTGCTTCTAGTCTCCTAACATGTAGTGCACACATGTACAGGACACAACACCAGTTACTTGAAAAAGGCAACAAATGACGCTGTGATGGTTTATGTATTGTTATTCCATACTTAGGTTATCATTTAGAATTATTGCTACTCACTAAAAAATGTAACACAGCATAGATGTTACTTGGGCTAACTTCATGCTTCTTGTATTTACCAAGCCTCTAAATCACATCATTTTTTTTTCTTCTGCTTGACATAAATCGCCTGATGTTTTGTCATTGTGGCCCTAGGAATAATAGGTCGTGCCACATGAACATATATACACCAGATAATCTAGGCATATAATAGGCCACCTAATCTAGGTTCACATAAACACACTCTGTGATATCTTAAGAACAAAATCTGGTCATTAAACAATGTGAAGCTAGCTCAGAACACAGAGATCTTGTTTTAGGTGTGCAAAGAACTAACTGGATGAATGATTTTTTGTGCCCTACAGCTAAAATTCCCACTGTTATAAAATGAGAACAGTCCCACTCTCACTATCCCTCAAAGAAGCATGAGGTGCATGGATAGCTCTGGAAGTTCTTTGTGCTGTGCTTGTTCACTTGGCTGGCAGTTCTCTGCATCCGTTCTTTCTTCCATCCTTTAATTACTGCCTATCTTGCCCAAATAAGGAATACTCTTTAAGAAGTGGAAACACAAGTCAATGTCAGGCAGTGGGGCAAAAGTCAGGTTAAGTGTCGATCTCCTAGACTTTCAGTGCCTGGAGGAACAAGGCTTTCAGGAAGTATTCAGTTCTCCACGCTGTCATTTGCACTAATAAACAGTTATCAACCAGCAGTTTGACCCCTGTACTAGCACTTCTCTGCGTCACTGGAGCATGTTGCTCTCTACAGGTGTCACTCACTTTATTCATAACGACTCAATCTTATTTTCTTCAACAGTGTCTTTTCTCTACTAGCTAACGTGACTGTTTGCCTGGGCTTCCGGAAGAACTGCCCTTTGGACTCCAGGGACTCCTCAGGGAGACCAGGACTGGGAATGCGTCACCAGTTAACCATGTCACTGGCAGGGGCAGCCGGGATCAGTTAAGACCGTCAGCTGGCCGTGGGTCGGCAGTGCGGGGCGCCTAGCAGGTGGTCAGCAAGTACCTGTTTTACGAACGCAGGTGTGAAGAAGGGACGCCGGTCACGTGCCGCGGGGGCAGCCTTCTGTACAGAGGAGGGGACCGGGCGTCTCTGCACGAAGGCCCCACTGAGCGCGAGGTCGAGTCCAGGGCGAACGCCACGCCCACGTCCTCGCAGCAGCACGGCGGCCAGCTTGCCGCGACCCCGTGGCCTCCGCGGCCCGGCTGGGCACAGAGCCCGGCGCGCTGCCTCGTGTGCGGCGGGGCGGGGCCGAAACGAGCGCGGTCAGCCCGTAGCGCTCGGCCGCTCTCTCGCGACGCCCACTGACGCAGCGCTGCGCTTCCGCTTCGGGGCGGCGGAGGCGGGTTCTGACGTCTCCGCTCTCTGACGTCAGGCCTGCGCGCCGCTGGTCGCCCGGGAGATTGAGCGCCGCGTCCCGGGCGAATGGCGGTCTAGGTGAGAGTCCGCGGCGTCCCGCGGCGTCCGGGCCGGGGCCGGGACACGCTTCCGGGGCGGGGGCGGGGGACGCGCGCTCCGCCCTCGCCACCGGGAGCCTCCCGGCCGCGGCGGAGCGGAAGGCGACTCCCCATCGTGCCCTGGGGGCTGCCCCCGTTCCGGGAGGTCCGAGACCTGGCCGCCGCTCTGGCCGCACTGTGGGCGTCGTGCCGGGCGGGAGCAGGGGCCCCGCGGAAGCTGGAAGTGGGCCCGCAAGGAGAGCAGGTGCCCGAGCACCGCGGTGGAATGTGTGAGACCCCAGTCAGCGCGCCCGGTGACCGCTTTCCATGTTGCCCGGAGCGCGGGAAGGCGAGCCCTGACTTTCTGGAGAAACGAAGGGTTTGTGAACGCCTTCTCTCTTCCTCTCAGAATGCAAGCAAATCTTTGTAAAGACCCAGGAATGCTTTTCTGAGGACCTGGAAGCCATTTCTTTCAAATGCAAACATAAAAAAGAAAAGAAAGGAAAAAAAAAAAAGCAAACATCAAGGAAAACAGAGCCCCTTCTGCTTGACGCCTTAGAAGCTTATTTAGTCAGGACGCCCAACTCTTGGTTGTAACTACTTGCCTATGCTCCTTAGCGTGACGACAATTAGCTAGCACCAATTACCTGGTGGTAATTATTAACAATAATTAAAACTATAAAACAATATATAGCATTAAGTCCTCTTACGTGAGGACAAGTGACCAATTTTCTTGCGACATGTATGTAATGAACACGTGCATGTGTTTTCTTGGCTGTATAAAAAGAATGGGATTCTTTGTAGTCTCTTCACCAGATTGGCTGTGAGGAGCATTGAAATCTAGCTAAATGCTTCTTCAGTAATAAAACTTTACTTTCTGCATTGTGTAGTTTTCTGGCTTGACAGAATATCTTATTTTTAAATTTTTCCTCAGTAATCAGAACCTGCCCATTCCTCCTATTGGTATAGTAAGGCCCTAAATTGGGATAGATTCATAAGTGATGAAGGTAACCTCTGCCAGTGCCTCCTGTTTGCACTATCGCTCAGATCCGGGATCTCAGATACTTTTATGAGTAATATTTTAAAAGATTTAGTAGGTCATTTTAGGAAGAAAGTCACTTCCAATGAAATTGAAGATGTTACCATTTTATTTTACTAATAATGAGTCCACTATAAAATAGCAGAAATGAAAATAATGAACCTTACAGTCTTCGGCCAAATGACTGATGGTCTGCCAGACTTCAGGTTAGGTAGTTGGCCATTAAGTTTACTGTTATGCTTGACCTCGGTTAACTTTACAGACCACATATAGTGTTATGCTTTAAATGAGAAGACTGTTTATTAGTTATTTGTTTTACATAGCAACTCACTGAAAAGAGAAATGTTTGTGCTAACTGGGGATGAAGAATCCTCTTTTCAACCAGTTGTTACCTGCTTTACAAAAATAATGCCGCAGCAGGATTTTATTTATTGATTGATTTGTCAACTACAATTTTCCTGCTATCCTTATTGTGGTTGGAGTTGTTCTCTCTGATAGCGCTCTGTGTGTCTCAGGTCTCTTTTGTCAAAATCCTTCCCTGACCAGAGGCAGAAAACCTCAATAAGTATCCACTAAATTCCTGCCCTACCTAACAGACAGGACATTTTTTCCCCCCTGAACTCTTAGATTGCTCTTGTCCCTAACTCAGGACACCTTCTGTGCTGTGGAATCCTTTGCTGGTGTCATCTGACTTTCCACATTTTTCCCTCCTTAACTGCTTAGATATATATGAACACCTGTCACTCAAATTGGACTAGTGCCCTTTCTCCATTATTTGGGAAGGATTAAAGAAATAAAAAGAATGTGAAATGCTCCATTCATCCTCTGTGGTTTTATGAAAGTAGTGATGAAGATTCATATTGAACTGTGTTGTTTTTTTTTTTTAAATTTAGTTGTAGGTGGGCACAATACCTTTTATTTATTTTTTTATGTGGTACTGAGGATTGTATTCAGTGCCTCAAATGTGCTAGGCAAGTTTTCTCTACCACTGAGCCACAATCCCAGCCCTAGAATTTTTTTTATTATAAAATAAAAATCTGTTACAAGTAAAATATCTTTATGAAATTATAGAAATGTCCATCTTAAGTGAAATTGGCACTTGGCTTCTGATACTTTGATGACTTTTGAGTGCTTATGTGCCGATTTAATCTGGTAATTAAATATTGTTTCTGTACTTCATCAGTTTAAATGCTAATGGAGAAAACCCAAGTTGTATCTTCAACACTTAATTGATGAAACAAACATCTGTTGAAACAGTTATCCATCTCCCAAAACTTCTAAGAATTTATAAATCATCTTAATTTGCAATTTTCACATTATTTTATTTCTGACTATTGCCATCAATGTCTTTAGACTATTTTGCTTCAGAACTCTGAATTTTGGGAAATTATGGATCGTCACATTCCCATGCATGCTTTACCTGAAGAAATCCAAAAGGTATGATGTTATATTTTGTTATTACAACAACATTAGAAACATTTTACCAATTAAATAATTCTAAAACACAGGGGAGTGACCTTAGAGGTTTTTAATTTTGCTTACAGAATCTTCAGTGAGTTGGTGGAATGGGAGAGGAAATAAGCACAGTGGACAGAACTGAAGAATTCAATTCAGTGCAAATAATATATGTTCCTCTAAAAGAAGACAAATAATTCCAGTGCAATACTTAACCAGGTGGTTGTGGATCCCTAGTGAAAATAAGAACCCAGAAATGCCCATGTTCATAACTTCTTATGATGCTAAGTTTGTCTCTGTGTAGTGCCCTTACTTTTTTTTTTTTTTTTTTTTTATTCTACGGATTGAACCCAGGGACGCTTAACCTCTGAGCCAAATACCCAGCCCTTTTTATATTTTATGTATAGCTAGGGTCTTGCTAAGTTGCTTAGGGCCTTGATAAGTTGCTGAGGCTGGCTTTCAACTCGGGATCCTCCTGCCTTAGCCTCCCAGGATTCTAGGATTACAGGCATGTGCCACTGCACTGGTGCTTACATTGATTTTTGACATGTACTGTGTGCCAGACATGGTATTAAGCCCTTTGATGTATATCACACATTTAATCTGGATAGCAATCCATTCTTCACTGTTGCTATGCTATTATCATCCCTGTTAGGTCACATCTGTCCTTAGGCAAAAGCATTTCTTCCATATTTAGTTTGGCAATCCATACATCATTAGTAGAATAATTTTCAAAATATTTTTGGAAAATTATCGACATTGTGAGTTTAAACTTCAGACCTTAGCTATTATTAGTCATATAGGTTTTTCAATAAATTACAGGCAACTCTTAAATAATTGATTTATTACCTTATAAGTGGAAATTACCGTCAGCTGTCAGATATGCTTTGGTCCATTGTGCATGTTGCTTTGAGCTGCCTGATTTTATTCTTACTGCATGTCCTTCAGATTTGTATAAACTGCAAATTAGCAGAAATTCTAAGGAAAGTCCAGTTATAAAAAAATCATATAAATTGTCGCACCTAGTTTTTAAAGTTAAGTATAAAGTGGTGAGCATGGGGAGTACTTAGCTGGGCTTCTGCTCATCTGAGAAATGGTGCTTACATGTGTTTGCAGACATGGAATGTCCTTGCCTGAACTGAGTTCCCTCCAATTGTACAATACTTGGAGGTTTAAAAAGCAAAGCAAAACAAAATCTACAAAGGTCATAATCACTTCAGATCCTAATCACCTGTCAAAAAGAAGATATAAAGTGACATTAGAATAATCCTCTGGAGCTGGAGTTGTAGCTCAGTGGTAGAGTGCTTCCTCGCATGTGACAGGCTCCGGGTTCCATCCTCACCATCACATAATAAATATATAAATAAAGGTATCATGTCCATCTACTACAACAACATCAACAACAAAATTTAAAAATTAACCCTCTGTTAGACAGTATGTGATTTAAGTTCCATATTACTAATCCCTGTTAAGAGAATGGAGAAGGTGGAAAGAAGAATCCTGAATATTCGGGTAGTCAAAGGGCAGCTTTATATAGGACATGGAACTGTGTTACTGGTCCTTGGAGGATATATCTGTAGGCCAAAGGCACAGAAACTTTCTGGTGAGGAAAACATAGCCAGGTTAGACAATGTGTAACAACTTTAGTGCTTTGAATGCATAAAACATTTATTTTAATGAGTCGAGTGTATGTTCTCTTGGGCACTTTAAATTGTTTTAAAAATGCCAAAACCAAGCATTTTATGAATCTGTAGTTAGACTCTAAAGCAGGAATGGCCGGCAGCTGTTGAGGCAGTGCAGAGAAATAGGGACATGGAGGGGCTTAGCTGCCCACTTCCCTGGACAAGTGTGCTGGTTGTAGCTTTCATCCTACCCAGTCTTTAGAACTTGAAATCTTCAGGCCTAAGTTAGATACATTTATACAAAAAGTATTTGTTATGCTTGTTATATATTCTGGATGCTTGATTATAAATCAGCCGAAATGTGTTCATGCTTCCCAAAGCTTATAAAAATAGTTTTTAAAAATAAACATTTGTTTTCCATAACTTCTTATGTTTGATTTGTCTACATTGTCCATAATTTAATTAGTTTGATTGCCTAGTTATTGGGCAATATATCTATTTAGTCAGCTTGCATATATTACTTCATACAGCACCATGTAAAATATATGGATATACAGGTTGAGCATCCCTAATTTGAAATCCAAGATCCTGCAAAATTCAAAACTTTTTGAAGGCCAGTATGATGTTATAATTGAAAATTCCGTACCACAAAACTTTGTTTCAAGCACATTAAATATATTGAATAAAAATTATGACATCATAAAAGGTAAATATGAAATCTAAATGAATTATTTATTTAGACTTTAGTTCCAAGATCACTGTTATGGTTTGGATCTGGAATATCTCCCAGAATCTCATGTGTTGAAGATTTAGTCCCAAAGCAGCAGTGTCCAGGGGTAGGACTTTTGGGAGATGATTGGATCATGAGTACTGTAACCTAATCAGTGGATTAATCTATTTAGTGGATTAACAATTTAAATGGATTATTGGGAGGAGGTGGAAACTGTAGGTCATGGGGCATGGTTAGAGGAAGTAGGTCACTGGGGGTATACCCTTTGGGTCTGTGTCTTGTCCTTCTCCCCTCCCCCCCAGCATTTTTCTTCCACCATGATGTTCTTCCTCACTTCAAGCCCAGCACAATGGACCCAGCCAGCTATTGATTAAAACCGGTGACACTCTGAGCCAAAATAAATTTTTCCTCCTTTAAGTTATTTGTGTCAAGTATTTTTGTTCACAACAATGAAAAGCTAACGATCTCATTATTTGTGTGTACTTATACCCACGTCTGAAAAAGATGAAATCTGAAATACTTTTGGTCCCAAGTATTTTACATAAGGGATAATTGGCCTGTGTAGGTTATAGTGGTATCAGGGACATTTCAGATTAGAACCATTGCATTATTAAGATGAAGAAAAATAATATTTTCCATAATGGCTTGGAAAATGTGCTTTATTTCCTTATTGGAGAAAAAAATCGAATTGGGTGTATCTGTGTGGTGATGGGTCTATTAAAGCTGTTCCCCCATTCTTTCCTGTTCTTGTGTTAAACTTTTTGTGTCACTGTATGTTGACTTCTTTTTCTAGAGAAACCCCTCCTTGTGCTTTCTTTCTGGCAGAGGCAAGGAAGTGTTGTGTAGGGCCAGAGAGGAGGAGGTGAGGGGCCTTTCTTATTTATTTTTTCTACTTTTGTTATGTGACATGGAAATATGGATGGTTGATGCTTTAGAATGCAAAAATGGCTGTATTACATTATACTGTTTTTTAGCAAAATAAGTAGTGGGGAAAGGGGAATTGCAAGAAAATGTGAAGAAGTTAAGGAATGATGATAAGCCTCAGTTGGAGAATCCGCCACCTGCCTAGGAGGCAAATTGTTAAATCACCCTCCCCTGGTCACATATATCAAGGGAACCTTAGGAAAGAAGACATGAGATAACCTTTGACTTCATTTCCTGGGTCTTTTTGCTTTTTATCATGATGTTTGACCAAACACAGAACTTCTAGAACTTCTGTCCTCTTGCCTGGCTGAAGATGTAAGAGGCCATTGACTAGACAGGAAGGCCACTCTTGTCCCTTTTGTCTACTGCTGGATTGTACATTTCTGTTGTCTGTACTTAGACCATATCTCCAGATCTGCTCTTCTGTGGTCTGTGCAGATTCCTATCTCTCTGACCTCAGGTGATCAGCAGTGATGCTGGAATATTCGTCCCTCATTCTGAAAGCAGAGTACAGTACCATTTTAAGTTTAAACAATTCATAATTTAAAACTAAAGTAATATAGGTCAGCCAAGTAATGATTCATTATCTCTCCCCTTCATGAATATCAGTTCACTTTAGAGACTTGTGAAGTCTTCTTTTTAGAAAAAAACCAGTGAACAATTTTCCTTTGGCTATTTTTGCTGGGGTTCATGGAGCAGCCAACACAACAGTAGCAAACTAGTAGAAAATTCAGTTCATTTGCACAAGCAAAATTGATCTCTTATTTTTAAAATGGTGACAAAATGAAAGCTTGTTAGGATTTTAGTTTTAGGAGATCTTTCTTACCACATGACACAGTGAAATAAAGAGACCAGAATTGTTTATTTTGCACAATAGAAGTGGTGGTGTGGGACTGCAGAGCACACTGTTCCTTCTGGGTAGCAATCCCTTTCCCCAGCACAAACAGCTCATTCTGTCCTGTTTCAGTAATTTTAGTACTTTGGAACTTTAAAATTTATTCAGAATAACAGTTTTATATTTCCAAGCACAGATTGTCATTGCCAGAAAAAATAAACTTGATTTTCCAGGTCATTTTGGGCCATAGTGGCTAAGTTCAGATTTTGTGTTAAATTAGAGTAGTGGAAAACAGAAAATGGTCATGGAAATGTTAGACCATACATCCTGGAAAGTGGAGATATATGTGTATTTCTCTGTGTGGTATATTTTTAAGCAACTGTAGTTTTAAAACTTAATGACAAAAATGTAGTTATGAATTTGGAGAGATTGTTCACCTAATGTTTTGATCCAAAATAGTTCAGTAGGAAAAACAGTTTGTTTCCAGAATATTATTATGAGTCGTGAAAATTTTGTCAGTTTGTAGTCAAAACTACTTTTGCCAACTGGCCATAGAAGAGCATGACATTTACTAAGGTTTCCTAACAGAAAAGCAGGCATTGGGGGAAATATACTTTGGAAGCATATTTATGTAGATATAAGTGTGTCATGTGTAATTATAGATTATGAAGCCTGATAGTGCTCATCAAAATGTCTTTTTAAATTAATTTATGGTATTTTAATCCCAGATTGATTTATTTTTATTTTTATTATTTGAATATTAAGCTTATTTTAAGATAATTGTAGGTTCATTTGCAGTTGTATGAAATCATACCTTGTATCCTTTCCTCAGCTTTCCCTGGGGTAACACTTGGCAAAACTAAAGAATAGT